AGTTTTAAACCTCGTGAAAGGCCAATTTTGTATATCAACCGGAATCTTGTTATAGAATCGTATACATTGCCCCTTAAATTAATTTGTGACTGTGAAGACAACTATTAAGAATAACTAGTTTATTTTTATTCCTCGTATAATGTTATGTCTGTCACTATTTTTCATAAATAAATTACTTTAAATTATTTAAATTACATTTTCATGAATGTACTGTGAGGCTAGTGTAAGAATGTTAATTTCCTTAAACTTATCTCTCAAAGGTACTCTATTGCCCTAACCGCACGTTTCTGCAGGACAAAGATTCTATTGATATCGGCGGCATTACCCCAAAGCAAAATGCCGTATGTCATTAGACTGTGAAAGTAGCTGAAGTGAACCAATATAGCGGTTTCGACGTCTGAAAGTTTCCGTATTTTTTTAATCGCGTACACTGCAGAGCTGAGCCGTTTTGATAACATACTTATATTTGGACACCATTGCAATTTAGCATCTAACATTATACCTAGCAATACAACTGTATCCACGAGAGTCAATTTTTCGTTTCTAACTACAATGTTTGTAACCGTCTCTCTAACATTGGGTAATGTAAATTTCACACAATTTGTTTTTTTCTCGTTAAGGAGTAGGTTATTAACAGCAAACCAATCAACTACTTTAGATATAGCATTGTTCACATCGTCGTAGGAACATCGGTGCCTTTTAACTTTAAATAATAAGGAACGCTTATGATACAGCAAACTATATCTCATGTTTTATACCCTTCATGAGGCTGGATAAGTTATTAACATAAACTAAAAATAAAATGTACCTAGAATTGAACCTTGAAGACGGACCATATTAAATGTAGACACAGATGATCTAGTACCATTGATATCGAGCCTCTGTACCTTACCACGCAAATACGATTTAAGAAGGTCGAGGTCATGTCCCGCCATACCATAACGGCGAAGTTTCCTGACCAGTGTATCATGGTGCACACAATCAAAAGCCTTGGAAAGGTGACAGAACACACCAAAAGCATCATGTGAGTCGTCCCATGCATCAAATATATGTTTCATCAACTCAGCACCAGCATCGGTTGTAGAGCGACTACGAGTGAAACCAAATTGTTTAGGAGACATTAAGTTATTACTATAAAAATGTGCACACATCTCATTTAGAATAATCTGAAAAAATATTTTACTGAGAGTTGGTAGTATTGATATAGGTCTCGTCAATGATAACTGAAACTCCTCATCAAAACGTATCATATGAGCCCAAACAAGGTAGCTGATATAACTGTTGAGGATTTCCTCTCATCAGATCAACTCTAGGTCATAATAACATTTATTGAAATCGATTAACGAAAAGTGAGTCAAATTCAATAAACTTGTAACGATGCGACCTTCTCCATCGTTATCCCGCCTTTTTATAACCTTTGTTCTGGTTCCTGGCTTCTTATTTTCAAATTTTGAATCGTTCTTTAATTCCTTTGCCTCGTCATTCTCATTTTGTTTCGTTCCGTCGTCACTCCCTACTTAATGTCTGAAGCGAGCACACCTACTTGTTTTCACCACTAATGTTGTTCCATTTACCAGTATCCGATTTAAATCATGTAACCAATCTAATATCTTCAAAATTAAATAACCTAACTAACATTTGTAAAAATTACGGCCCGTTCGGCCCTTTACTTTACACAATAAATTCATATAAACCGAGCAATCAATTATTATTGCTCCCTATTGGCGGTTTACAACCTTTTCAAATTGGATTTATCCCCTAATTTGCCGCCCTCTGCCTCTTTGACTGTCACCGTGGCCGATTGGTTACCATGCCGTACTGCCAGGCAGAGGTCCCAGGTTTGATTCCCGGGCCGGGAGAAATAGTTGTATGGCCTATATTAACTTCTCTCGTGAGTTTGGGTGTAATTTGTGTCTGTTGTCTATGTGTGTATCCATGGCACCCGCGATTCCCTAGT